AATATTTTTATTTAAAAGGGAAAGAGTACCACATAAAACATCTGTTTGAGTTCAGATATGTTGCATGATTTCCATCAGCATTAACTTAATCTCCAGTTTTATACCAGAGAGAGAAAGATGAGACTTTCTCAAATTTTTTTGTCCTCTTTGAGTTTTTGTTTCTAGTCTAGAAAATGGAACAATTCCTGTTTTGTGGGATTGTTGTGAGATTTGAATAAAATAATGTAAGTAAAATACTTTGTACAATACCTGGCACATCTTAAACCACAAATGAGAGCGATATCACCACCATTATCACCATCACCATCATCGTACCATCCCCATTGTCATCAACATCATCTTCATCATCTCATTATCATTATTAAAAACATCTTTACTAAAAGCTTGCTACCCTTTAGCCCACCTTAATTCATCTGGCTTCAACATTACCTAAAATACCTCTGTATTTAAATATTCAAAAATATTAAGTAGCCGGGTGCCGTGGCTCACACCTGTAATCCCAGCACTTTGGGAGGCTGAGGTGGGCAGATCACCTGAGGCCAGGACTTTTAGACCAGCCTGGCCAACATGGCAAAAACCTGTCTCTACTAAAAATACAAAAATTAGTTGGCCGTGGTGGCGCACGTCTGTAATTCCAGCTACTCAGGAGGCTGAGGCAGGAGAATCACTTAAACCTGGGGGGGCGGAGGTTGCAGTGAGCCCAGATCGCACCACTGTACTCCAGCCTGGGTGACAGAACAAGACTCCTTCTCAAAAAAAAAAAAAAAAAAAAAGAAATAAAAAAAAAAAAAGGAAAAAAAAAAAAAAAAAAAAAAAAAAAAAAAAAAAAAAAAAAAAAAAAAAAAAAAAAAAAGTCACTAAGACAAAAGGCGCAGTCAAACAGTCGATAGGTATAATACACACTACACTGGCCAGTTCTTACCTAACTTTTAATTCCAAGGTCATAAAATATTCTGCCTGTTTACTTAAATATAACATGTTTCTAAGGGCAAGCATGTTCCCAGCATCTTTATATAAGGTCATTAGTTTTAGAGAAATCATCTTCATGTTGCAGTTTCTTTTCTATCATTCCTGAGAATACGTCTTCTATGGGCATGACTTTAGTCGCCTGCTCCCATGCCCATCCCACATCCTATCTCCACGTTATCATTCAGAATAAATTGTAGGGAGGTGGGGACGCTGTATTAATGAAGACAAGACTGTAATTGTTTTCTCACTACAAAATCTTTTCCTAAAATCTGGTGTATGCAGTTTGACTTCTGCATAGCTTTTTCTTAATTATAAGACAGTTTTTGTTTGCCTTTATATTTTTTGTGTTTGGGAGGGATATTTTTTATTTGTTGTTTACATTGCATGTTTAAAGTTGATCCCATTGTTTGTAATTAACAAAACAAAGCTGGGGAATGGAATAATGAAGGTAGGAAAAGTTGAAAGTGGACTGAGCATAGAGGTTTTGTAGTACATTAACTGTACATTACCATCACAGTGATTCTTCTGTGTAAAATGGAACTGATGTCATCATTTTGTGTGCTTTCTTTTTAGCTTGTTTTGCACGTAGCATATACATCCAAAAGTTATAAAACAGTAAAAACAAAAAAAAAGAGTGGAGAGAGATTCACCCACTCCTCTTTACAGTGCCCACTTCTCCCTACCTCTCAGAGGCAGTTGCTATTCGCAGTCACTACGCATCCTTCCAGCATCTGGTGCACACTTAACATTAAAAAATCACGTACATATTAATCACAAGCTTTTTTCACTTTGACTGTATATATAGAATGCTTTATTATTCTTTTTAACGGGTACATAGTATTCCAGCATGTGGATGAATCATAATATAATTGGTGAATCCTCTTCTGATGAACATTTTCATTGTTTCCAATATTGGGCTATTGCAAACAATACTACTGGAAATATTATTTAGAAGCATCATTTCAGTGGGCTATTTTTTACTTTTTAAGAAATTTTTCAAAAGTATTTATAAGTATTCAGTGGATGTCTAGCAAACTCAGTCTCTTCAAAACTATTTTTTGTTGTAAAGTGTTAAGTTTCTCCACCAGGATTCTCATTTAAATATGATTTTTTATCCCGAAACCCTGGGAAACCACTGTCAGATGGCTTTTTTGTGTGGTAGGAGAAAATATTCCTCTCTCAATTCACCTTAAATTTGACTACTGTTTTCTGCCAAGCAAAATAGCAGAGCAAACCTGTGCCCCATAGTTATTTTCTAGCTAAATCATCCCCTGTAGCCCGGAATTCTCAAGATTTACACCCTTCACTGGCTGTCCTCCTGCCGCTCTACCCACTTACGTGTGTGGCAGTCAAGGACTCCCAGACAAAAAATTAAAAGTGAAAAATGTTAAGAATATTTCTTGCCTTTATAATGAACATTATATAAGCAATTGGAGTTTTCTTCATAATCTACATGGACTAGATATAGAATGATCATAAAATCATTTATGAACTAGCTGCCTCATGATGAGACTACAGTGACAGCTGTTATACACATGCGTGCAGACACGCCTGAAGCAGGTAAATGAGCATTTGCCCATGGACCGTATCTACACGATAATAATTAGAATAAACCTGCCATGTCATGGGCTAGTTAGTTATCGCTCAAGGAGTATTCATAGAACACCTCTATGCATCCATCACTGATAGCTCATATCTCTTTGTTCACTCTTTGCTACCTTCGAGTTTTATAAAGTTATATGAATCCAATTTAACTTTTGGCAACATGCCACAGAGTGGCAGAAAATTCTGATACTTGCACCAAACATTTATCTGATTTTCTTATAGTACTGATTGGTTGGTAATTGAATCAGCTTGTATTAAGATGACTTGTCAGGAGTTGTAGGACTGTGGGGCTCAAGAGAGCTTCAAGATGATCACGTTCAATCTCTTTTCACTGATGAGAAAACTAAGCTGTGGAACAGACTCTTACCTGCCCAGGATGAGACAGCAAGCTCAGATGAGACTTCCGACTTCCTGATCCCAGTTAGGATTCTTTCCTTTTCTGTAAGTCAAATGGACCAGTTGTCACTTCAGCTGTTTTTACTCTCCTAAGTTTTGTTTCCATATCATGCCCAAGAATGGGGGTACTGTATGTGTGCTGATGTAAGTTTTGAGAAAGATTTAATCTCTGAAGGGGATTTTAAAAGTCATCTGGCCCATAATACATTTTTCCCTCTAATTATCAATATTATGATCTTTCTTGTAGTCATTCTGTTCCCTTGGTGACCTCCTAAACAAAATAGAAATGTGGCAGGTAAATTGAGCAATTAGTATGTGTGTTTTCCCATTTCAGCATCATTCCTTTTCTGTTCCAAGAAGGTCATTGGACTGCCTGGCCCCAGGGGAGGTTTCTTTTGTTTTCAGGAGCCCTGAGGGAGGTGAGGACTGTGCTGAAGGGGAGGATGGAGCAGCACAGCCAAGAAGATGGGGTGCAGGGGTCCCCAAATGGGAAATACATGGAGCTCCTTGGTCTACAGATCCTATGGAGAGGGTGGGGCAGGCAGTGGAAGTCTGGCTACGGGTAGTCCTCAGCAGTAGACAAGGCCCTCAGCTCATTTCCTACCCAAAGAGAAACCAGGGATGCTGGATTTCAGAATCTCTTATTGGCTTGGCCAGTGGAACCTCAGTTTTAATCAGAAGTCCAAATATCAAAGCTCTTTCCTCCTAGCATTGAGCTGTGCTTGAGATCCCTGGGATGTTCGCAAAACCCTGCGGGTGTATGGGGAGGGCCTTGTATTAATTATCTCTCACTTTGTGATAACCACTCCATGACTTTGTGGCTTAATGCAACAAAAATCATTTCTTTTGCTCATGAATCTACAATTGAGTTTAGTCTCCTCTCTGCTCCACCCCCCGTAAGCTGGAGCAGCTTGATTTGGGGCTGGATAATGTGCTTTCAAACTGGTTTAGCATCTATCTGGCTGGCACGTCGGTTCTGGCGGTTGGCTGGGAGCTCTGCTAGGGCCATGGGCTGAGGATTTCAGATCCACCCTACACGGGCCTCTCCAAAGGCTGCTTGGGCTTCTTCTTACAGCCTGTGGCTGGTCTCCGATACCACGTGTCCCACATGACACAGGGAGAACCAACCTCAGAAGTCACATGGTGTCAATTCTGCCTCCTCAGAGGCAGGGACCTTATGTCTGCTTGTCAAAACCACACTGTTAAGTATAGCATGTAGAATGGGATGTATTCCTTGACCATTAGAATCTGCCATATTCCCAAATGACTGAGATTGGAATGAGCACAAGGCCAGCATGGGTGAGTCTTGTTGAACTAATGTTGTTCAAAATTTTATAGACTTCACAGTGTGTCTGTTTTCTCAGGCTTCTACAACAAAACGCCATAAACAGTGTGGCTTATAAGCCATGGAAATTTATTTCTCACAGTTCTGGAGCCTGAGAAGTTTAAGGTCAAGGTGCCAGCAGATGTGGTACCTGGCAAGGCCTCACTTCCCTCTTGCTGGACCTGTCCTTTTGCTTCTTTGCTGGAAGGAGTGAGGGAGCTCCCTCAGGTCTCTTTTGAAGGGCATCAATCCCATTAATAAGGGCTCTGATCCCATGACCTAATCATCTCCCGAAGACCCCACCTTCTAATACCATTACCTTGAAGATTAGGGCTTCAGCATACGAATTTTGGGGGATGCAGACATTCAGACCATAGCACAGTGTGTACAGAGAGATTCATTTTGCCTCAATTTGCACCGATGTCATCTTCTTATTCTAATTGTTTGTCAAAAGAATTATATTTATACATAGTAATGTACAGAAAATATTACAGAGGGACTTTCTCTTCATTTTGTATTTATTTACAGTTGATTAATTTTTATCTGTCACACAGATTTCTCATCAAAGTGGTTATTGATTTTTAATCAAATAGCTTAGATGCTCTTACTATTTAGCTATACATTTTACAGTATAGTTCTTCCCTAATTTAATTTGTAATTTGCATTTCAATATTGCTTTTTCTTAACCTGGACACATCTGCAGGTCAATTTAAAGGTGCTGATGAAGTGATTACAAATCTCCCCATGGCAAACAACCCCTGGCATACTTATGAAGACAATGATTCTTCAATTCATTCACAGTAAGTCATTTCAGGTAAAACTCAAGAAACCTCATGCAGAGTACTTCTCTGCTTGGTTTAGCTGCTCTCGAGGGTTTAAAAAAATGTTGACTGTGAGGAAAACTATGGAGGAAAATGACTTAAGGTGATTCAGGGAAAGGTATCCCTTCCTTGGCACACAAAAAAGCAAAACAATGTACAGCCCTCCATGAAATGCCTTTTGGAGTCTTTCCGATCATTTCCTTAGATCACAGCTCTCCTTAGAGTCATCATCTAAATGTAAATGCAGGGGAAAAGCAGGAATCTTATTAGGTAGTCTCCAACACCTTGCTGCAGAAGAGGGACCTGTTGGAAGCAGGTGGAAGATGAGGGACTGGAGACGTGGGGCAGAGGGTGGGGAGGGTGCAGGAAGCCTTCTCATGGCTGTCTTTGCAGACTCTTCATGTCTCCTTGCTTTCTCCAGGTGGCGTTTGTTTCTAAAGATGAAACTGTGGTTAGTCAATACCATTTGTATATCTTGGATTTAAATTTAAAAAGATTTTGGGAGTTCGAGATCAGCCTGGCCAACACGGTGAAATCTCATCTCTAATAAAAATACAAAAATTGGCCAGGCATGATAGCGGCTGTAATCCTGTAATCCCAGGTACTCAGGAGGCTGAGGCAAGAGAATCACTTCAACCCAGAAAATGGAAGTTGCAATGAGCCAAGACTGCACCATTGCACCCCAGCCTTGGCATCAGAGTGAAACTCCGTCTCAAAAAAAAGAATAAAGAAAGAGAGAAAGAAAGAAACGAAGGAAGGAAGGAAGGAAGGAAGGAAGGAAGGAAGGAAAGAAGGAAGGAAGGGGAAAAGAGGGAGGGAGGGAGAGAGGGAGGGAGGGAGGAAGGAAAGAAGGAAGGAAGGAAGGAAGGAAGGAAGGAAGGAAGGAAGGAAGGAAGGAAGGAAGGAAGGAAGGAAGGAAGGAAGAAAACTTTGGTACACTTTGGAAGAAAGTCTCTTTTTATCGTTAACCAGCACTTTCTATCCACACCTCATTTTCTTCATCAGAATGGAATTTCTCAGGCTGCTTTAAATTCAGGCCTGGGTCAGTTTCTCAAGATGAATCATTTCCAGTGGTCATTTATCCTCAGGGACCCGATTCATCAACACCGGAATTCTCTTCCACCTGCATAAGCATCTCTTAGCTGTGGACAACATGTCACAAGGTTTAACTTTTCCAGAGTGACACATGATAGTAATTTCCAAAACAATAGTTCTAGAAGGAAAGGAATCAGAGAGGAGAGGCCTCAGTGGATGTCTGCTGGGCCCATGGCCTCACCTGAAGAAAGCTGGCCTCTGGGATGGCGTGTCTCCAGATCTGGCCACAGTGGATCAGACATGAAAGGACTCCTCCCATGCAGCTGGTCTTCAGGCTGGCCAGCAGACCTGGGGCAGCTCTGCCCAACTGGGATAGGTGGTTCTACTTAACAGAATCAGTTAGAGTTTGCTAGGAACAGGGGTGGGAAGTCAACACCTTCCAAAACGCGCAGACAGAGTCAACAACTTAGAGCAGAAACAGAAGCAGAATATCACAGACAGATGAAAAGCCACTGAGTTAGTAGAAGGCAAAGATTCAGGAGGTCAGAAACTACATAGGAAGAGAAGAGCCTAGATTTGTGCTTCTCCAAACTTTAATGTATATGCATGTCCTATGAGAGTCTTGTTGAAATGCTGATTTTGATCTGACAGCTCTGGGGTGGTGCCCGAGACTCTGCATATCTAATGAGCTTCAGGTGCCTCCAGATGCTCCTTCACAGGCCATACATGGCTGCAAGGGTTCAGAAAACCAACAGTTCTCAGCCTGTGGCTGAGCACTATAATTATCTGAGAAGTTTATAAAAATCCAGTCTCCAGAAGTGGAATCTGGGCATCTCCAGGCAATTCCACTGGACAGCCAAGGTTGAAATCATTGCCTCGAAGGGAAGTTAGTTGCTGGTTGAGAAGTCATAGATATTGACTCAGCCCCATCACTGAGTGTCCAGAAAGGAGCAGCAGGTGTCTTTTCAAGGACATGCTTACTGCACTTGCTATGTCTTGAACATATGCTCTGGCTCCCATGAGGCATCTGCTTCTGTTTATTTTTTTAAAACTTCAATAGATTTTGGCGTACAGGTGGTTTTGGTTATACGAATAAATTCTTTAGTGGTGACTTCTGAGATTTCAGTGCACCTATCAGCCATGCTTCTGTTTTCACCACCACCATCAACCCAGTTAACCCAAACATATCACTGTTTTTTACAGTGTGGAAGAATTCCGCGAGGATGACAATGGTAATGTTTCTTTTACTTCATCTATGAAATATACAACCAGGACCAGAGGGTGTCTGCCTAAGGTATTCGAAGTCTCATGGGTAGTTGTACTATTTGTCCACAATTCTGCATTCATATGGTCCCATATTGGCATTCTATGCACTGATTTTTTAAAATTTTTTTATAGAAACATCTTTCGTCTTCTTTTAAGGCAAGTGAATAAATGTTTCAAGCCATGGCGTCAATCTACATACATTCAGGATCTTGCCTAGTGTGCAACTTCATATGTCTGTTTCCTGACACTTCTCAGCAGAAGAAACCATCTCTAACATTCCAAAGTGGGCAGAGCCCAGAAGTGCAGCTGAGAAAGCAGTTTGAGAACCCAAGACCAAATATGCTGAATCCCTTGAAGATAAAGAAGTTTCTCCAAAACAACCAAGTGTTTTTTGAGCTGGGAATAATTATGTTGTGGAAGATAGAAGGAAGTATAACATAGTTACTTGCTTTTAAGAAGCAAATATTCTGACCAGATAGAAACCAAGGAGGCTGGGCACTGTGGCTCACGCGTGTAATCCCAGCACTTTGGGAGGCCAAAGAGGGCAGATTACAAGGTCGGGAGTTTGAGACCAGCCTGACCAACATGGTGAAACCCTGTCTCTACCGAAAATACAAAAAA